TCTTAACTTAATTATGTTTCAAATTTTAATTTTATTTTTAGGTATTTAAAATATCTTATCTTGGAAATGAATAACAAAAAGTCCATTAAATATTGCCAACCAATGCATATAATTCCTATTAGTAATAAATCATAACAGAAGGTCAAACGTTCAAACGCGTAAATATAATTAAACTGAAGGACAAAAACAATATTCCTACATTGTAAGCAAGGGAAATATGAAATTAATTTTTACTCGCTACGAAACATGAGAAAATCAGGCGAGTCTCGTTTCTCGCCCTGTTTCTACAGCTCGTACAAATAAGTTATATATTTTCCTACAATGTAAGAATATTCGACCCCAGGTATTATATACATAACCTTACGGAATTTTTTGTCCTGAGTGCTCTTCGACTGCGTACTTTATTTGGTCTTTTTAAAATGTTTTAATCGAGCGTCACTGATGAGTCTTTTGTAAACGAAACGCGCGTCTTGCGAACACAATTGTTAACCTTGTCAACCTGTTATCTATGATGACTTTATTATATATTGAAACGCCATAGGTGTATACATGAATGGCAAGTGTATATAGGATCAATTCATTATTTATCAGTTTAATCACAAATATACAGTTAGAATTTTGAAAAGGAATTAAAATTGAAAAGAAAGTTTTAAGTCATATTACTGTGTTTCAGAATTCTTCATTTTTAAATAATCCGCAGTAGAGCAATCAAAAACTTGAAAAGTGAATTTAAGTCACAAGGACAGATAGACTCGTGCACAGTGGCAGACATAACGATACCCCAAGACTCACGTTCTTCAGCAAGATTAATATAGATGAGAAAAAAAGATATCAAAAGAGATGCGAAGGATACCAAAGGTACATTCAAACTCGAAAGTCGAAAATAAACTGACAAAGACATGGCTAAAAAAGAAAAAAAGACAAACAGACAAACAACAGTACACATGCAAAGGGACAAACAAAAACCCTCAGTGATATTATGAAGATTTTTTTACCTGGCTTGAACATCAAAGAAAGAATGGTTTGATACTTCAGCAAGCAGATACATTTAAATATCGTTGTGTCCATACATGTGTCATAATTAAAATAACATTTGATCTTTCAATGTTTTCAAAGTATAATGAAAATATCGAATGTACTTTTTAAATATATTTTGATATAATTAATGGATCGGCAATTATAACTTTCAAATTAATCTCAAACTATTTCCAAATAAATATTAATGTTTAATGTTTGAACGCTATTTTGTAAAATATTTGAAAACCTGTGTAGGGAGCGAAATGACACAAAATCCATTAAATTCTTTTTTATATGTATATATATTTCGCATAATTAACAAAAAAATCGAATATAAATAAGTATGTTAACTTATTTAAAAATTATTGAATGCTGGACATTTATTTTTTTTTAAGTGAGAAAATATTGTTTCGAAAAATAATATGCGACCATATTTAAGGCTAAAATATTAATGCTAAATTAAAATTCGAATATTGTATGTACAACAACGGATAATCACATCGCTGGTAAATGTATATGCAAACTTTTAAAACCACGAATAGGTAAAGGCAAACTAATAAACACTGGGAACATATTCAAATTGTAACACGTAATGTATTTAGAACAGCTCCAATTTTAAAGTCGACAAAATATGTTTTGAAAATAAACTCTTTACCATAAAATAAAAGTTAAGTGCAAACTTCAAAACAATTATTTTTTATCAAAGTTGTAAAAAACTATCCTTTAGGTGACATCTGACATTTTACCACACATTTTAATTCAACAATACAATTAACACCTTTATTAACTTAATTTAGTCTATTGTTGCCGATTGCTACCAAATGCAATCAGCTGACCCGGTCTTTAAAGATCGATGTAGCATGTGGTGCATTTGATTTGCGCGCTAAAATCATTACGTCTGCGCGCAGCTTTTGATTACATTTGCGCGCATTCTTTTTCAGGTAAATACTGGTAGATTATACTTATTTATTATATACTTAGTAGTAAATACAGATAAATTGTATATGTAATACAATCATTGGCAAGCGCGCTGTATCAGCCACCCGTGATGATATCGATATCAGCACGGTTGCAAAGGCTTTATCACACCTTTAATCTGTATGACGTCACGTCATCGATTGCAGTTACTGTTGCAAAGGCTTTATCAAACCCCTAATCTGTATGACGTCATGTCAAACCTATAATCTGTATGACGTCATTTCAAACCTCCTTATCAGTATGACGTCATGTCATATAAAAAACATTTACGTGAGGTATATGTATATAATAAAGTGTATATGATATGGCTTTTTCAATATCACACACCGTATCAACCCTCAACCAATATAATCCCTCGAGCAGAGCTCTTGGGATTATATTGGTGTCTCGGGTTGATACGGATGTGATATTGAAAAAGCCATATGATATGATCTGATATTCTCTATTTATTTATCAAACTATTATTTTCGAGCAGGATAAGTCCGTTTTATTGTGCACAAGCGCTTAGTCCTGGAAATGTAAACAGATATTAAAAATGTAAAACACATAGTAAATCTAAAGATTAAAAGTACTGATTTTACATGTCGTAACTTGCACAAAAATACATGGATGTGCTGAATACAATCATCATGGAATGATTCCGGGCCGTTTGTAGTACGCCTGGATTCTGCTGACGGCATAGTGATGCCCAAACACGTTGAGGAAATATGAAATCTGGTAAAATACCTTTGCAATTATTTACAGTGCATCGCCTTGAAATATTCCGGACTTTAATGTTCTGTCGATACGAATAGTAAATCCATCGTACACAAATGATTCCCCCCCTGCCCTGACGCAACTTTACAAACTTATTTAAATCATTTGTTTAATCGCTATTCGGTAAAATTATGAAACAGAATGCTATTTACTCTGAAATATTTGCAATTAAAGTATATGTATGTCTTAAGCTATTACGGATTTTCTCATGATCACTGTATATTTTTTTAGAATTCAATATGAAAAATATAGTTTTAATTTACAAATAGAACATGTTCAAAAATTCATATTAACTATACTCATATTTATTATCAGTTATCTTTATTTTACCTGTGTTACCTTTAAAATGAATGCGCGCAAACGTAAAAAAAATTAATCCCCAAAATGCGCGGAAATGTAATGCGCCCGGTCGTTGATACAAATAAGAACTAAAAACTGAATGGGTTTATGAATACACATGCTACGGGCGCATTACGGTTTCTTCCCGATTGTCCTACTTTTTGAAATTACAGGTAAAAAAGTAATGAAATTTTGTGGGACAATCGGGAATATGTTTGTGGGATAATTCGCCACAACGACCTCACAGCCTTAACCATTCGGAAAGAGTGTCTACGTCATCTTTTTCGCCATTAGCCCATTGCCTGGCACAATATCAGTATTTTGAAGTTATGTTTCTAATTGATGGATTTAGGCTCAAATTATTTCGGGCTATTGGATAACACATTTCGCAAAGAAAGTTTTATGCCCTCTTATGGCAGTCAGTGCCCCCCTCCCCCTTATAAAAAGTTCTGGATCCGCCACTGCAAGGAGTAGAGTTGAAAATATTCATCATATTCACCGAGCTACAGGAAGGACTCGAAAGAATACCTTTACCATCAATTGTGTTCCTGCATACGGAGTCGTAATCATGTAAACTCATATTTCAACGATTTACCTTAAAAGAGCCTGAGTGAACACAATGTATCTACTTGAATATAGCGAACATAAGACATACTTATTCAATGGAAATAAATATTCCTCATTAATTCAAATCACATCAGTGCAAGAGTTCTATGTTTGACATAAAAAAAGGTTGATGGTTACAAATTAATGTGTCAGTAATAACCAAAAGCATATTTCTATATGCTATTTTTGACGTTACAGAATTCGATCTCAGATGGTTTGCCAAAGCGCAGTAAAAGCGATATGACTTGAAGAGCAGGATAGCGTTATTCTAGTTACTGTAGAATCTCTATGTGTACTATACATATGTGGATATCTATTTTTCTTTTTTTCTTTTTGGGCTGCTTGTTTGTTATCTATATCAACCACACTTGCAATAAAATGCATTAGTATTAAAAAAAAAACATACTATAGATTCTTTATCTACGTATTCTTTAAGAACTTAAATAGTTCTCGTTTAACTTCCTTTTTTTTTATCTCATTGTTTGTATTGTATTATGAAAAATTATTGATGTTGTAATGTTTATGCCCTTTGGGGCCCATAATTGGAAATAAAAATATCTTATCTTATCTTATCTTATCTATCTATGATTTCTCTGCCCTGTTTTGTTAAACCGTTATCTAGTCATCGTATGCCTTCATGTCCCTCTTTTTGTTCTATTTTGTTTGTTTCAGCTTTTTACCTTTTTGTCCTCTGTGTATCATTTTTAATATTTAACTTTGGCTTCAGACTTCTTACCGTCCTTGCACTGATGTTGCTTTGGACTATGCTCTTTCATGATGTTGCTTTTGACTATGCTCTTTCATGATGTTGCTTTGGACTATGCTCTTTCATGATGTTGCTTTGGACTATGCTCTTTCATGATGTAGCTTTGGACTATGCTCTTTCATGATGTAGCTTTGGACTATGCTCTTTCATGATGTAGCTTTGGACTATGCTCTTTCATGATGTAGCTTTGGACTATGCTCTTTTATGATGTAGCTTTGGACTATGCTCTTTCATGATGTTGCTTTGGACTATGCTCTTTCATGATGTTGCTTTGGACTATGCTCTTTCATGATGTTGCTTTGTACTATGCTCTTTCATGATGTAGCTTTGGACTATGCTCTTTCATGATGTTGCTTTGGACTATGCTCTTTCATGATGTTGCTTTGGACTTTGCTCTTTCATGATGTTTTCATTCATGTCACTACCAAAGTCTACTGACCGAATACCATCACATTACTAGACGTTCATAATTACAGCGGTATGAATGTGAGAGACGTCTTTTCCTCTCTCTCTCTCTTGTTTATTAAAAAAAGGTATGAAACAAACAGGTTTTTTTTAATATTTATTGCGACAGAAAACATGTACAAAAATCAAAGCTTGAAATTACAGAAAGTTTTTGAAAAAACAATAGCTGATTGTTTCCATTAAATCGCTTTTGCCTTTTCGAAGATTGTCAAACCAGGTCTGAAAAATAAAATAATACAAAATATAAACACATAGATATGCACATGTATTCGATTACTAATACATTCACGATTATAAACAGATCGACATCTCAGTATGAGCCATATAGACGTATTGGTCCTTGGAATAAACTTATTCTTCAAGCAAATCAATTTAAGTAAGTAGTAAGACATATTGACCTTATAGCTCGTCATGTATTTAGGTATGTATACATCCTTCGTTTTCAAAACGTTAGGTTAGAACGTGAATTACTGATGAAAGTAAATCAATAATTTATGGACGGAATGAAGATATTTGTTTTGTTCATTTGACAAACCTAGTTCTATTCTAACCCTAAAAAAGCAAAATATGACATTATTGTTCTATTTAATAGGAAATTCCTAGAAGGTAGTTGCTATATTCATAAGTGACAGAGGGGCCTCGGTGGGCGAGTGGTCTAAGTAGTTACTACTGTAATCACTAGCCAGTCAACACTGAGGTTGTGAGTTCGAACCCCGCTTGTGCGGGTGCACTCGACTCCAATCTTAATTGACTAGGATTGTCAGTTTTCCTATCGAAGGTCGGTGGTTTCTCCGTGCACTCCGTCTTCCTCCACCAATAAAAAACTGGCCGCCACGAAATAGCCCAAAAGCGGTGCTAAAAAGTGGCGTTAAAACACCAAAAATCAAAAAATCAAAATCATAAGTGACAGTAATTGGGCCTCGTACCCATTTAATTGTAGACAAAAACAAATCATTATTCTAGTAACCCGTTGATCGTTGTTTATACATGTACTTGGAGTTAAAGTCCGAGTCTGTTGAGCTAAAACTAATTTTTTTTTGTAACCCTTTTTATTTAAAAACGAATATTTCAAAAAGATGTTTCTGTTCAAAATTATTTGAGAGAAAAATCTTAATTTCTGACGTTAACTTGTACTGGACCAATAGATTGTGCCTTAACGTCAAATTAAACCGGCAAAATCTTACGATAAAACATAAATACTACAAGATTGTAGAGAGACTGTTCAATTGGTAGTTCTAGGAATATGTTAATGTAAAGAGAAAAAAGTTTGTTCTAGTTTTTAACATTTGGATTTTATGTACAGTCATGTCATCATCATAACACCTTTGTAAGATTAGTTTTACCATTTATATTTCATGTACAAGTCAGCATAACGAATTTGTAAGGTTGAGAACTTTACGCACCACAAAGCAAATGAAAGAACGTAATAAAACTTAATAATTAATCATACTTTCTTTCTACAATGTATTATTATGCCCACACGTTAAAGTCCATTTGAGGATTTCTCCTTTCATTACTGCAGTCGTCCCTGAAATATAATTCAAACAGTGTCAATATTTATGTTGCAGTCACACATACGATATACGGTCATAATATCGTTGACCGGTTATTATTCATGAGATACAATTTTTCATGGATTTCTTGGTTAAAGGTTGAGCAAGGATTTCAAGTGTAAATTTCTATAGAGATGTATGCAGAATTTTTTACATCCACGAAATAAAGTATTCACGAAAATACAATTAAATTCAATCCCCGAAAATTGACACCCAAAAATTCATGAATCCATAGTACACATAACAGGGTTGGTCAGTAGATGTTTTTTATTTCACAAGTACACCTGAATTAATAGGTTACAATTGCTAAATATAAATATCGATGTGCAATCTGGTAATTGGTCAGCAACCTCGTTCTGATGACATTATACAGAACACACGTCACTTCCGTTATCGGTTTTAGCGCCAAAAGTTATGTAACGGTAGCATTGTAGAACTAGAACCTTGCATCATGTGTAATTTTAACCACACACACCTGATGATTTTTTTTCTTTCTTTTTCGTTTCTGGTTTCATGAATTTCAATTCTCTTAAAGTATATCGCTGTACTTTTACAGATAGAAACGTAAATTAATGTAAAATGTATTCCCTCCGAATAAAAATGATGACTGTTCGTTTATTTGCATAGTCATATGAATCAGATTTAATTTTGTACTTGAAAATACCAAGTAAGACAAAATGTCACAATTTTTCCGTAAAAAATACGTTACGTTTATGTTGTGTTTTTGAGCAACAGTGCAATTCTTAAATGCATGGACCCAAAAGGAAGTCCACACCAGTGTTTAACACTTATTATATTTTCAGTAAATGTTTGAAATACAATAAATTAAGAGTAATAATCGATAAAAACAAACCTCCTTTAAGGTTAATAGCAAGGGAGCACATTAGTGTTCTCATATTGTTATATAACGATGAAACATACCTGTTTGTCTGTCTTCTTAAAGCATTTCTTTGAATTTCTGTTAAGTTGTCTACATTTTTGCAAAAGACACTGGCAAGGGTCACTTTTCTGATTTCCTGAAGCTTTTCTATAATCAAAACATTATTATTCGAATGTATCTTTTATGAAAATCTTGTAATTGTTTCAAATGTATGCATACCGTGTTTACGATAAAAGACATTGTATATGTCTCATTGTCTTATATCCCCTATCTCTTGATATTTATATCGTTACACCAAGATGTCGTTAAATGAAATCGATTCGAATACCCTGCATTTATCATGCTTTTCAATAACATATGGTCAAGTCGCTGAAAGACCCCCTCCTAAATTATTGAAAGTTATCATTCTATATTGACAATTATATCTTGGTGTAAATTATATATGTACCCATTTGGGCTAACGGCCTCGAGGTGTGTCTAATACATATGTACTCCATACAGTCAGATAAAATTGAAGAAATATGTGATGAAAGGGCGATAATTCAACAACTATCAATAAACCCCGACGAAAAATGAATTTCCATATATTTTATTGTGTAAACATTATATTCAGTGCACGACATCAGTCGTTATATAAGTATTCGGTAAACGGGTAGTTGATGAGTGATGACGCATATCACGGTAAAAAAATGCTCACATAAAGCTTGCTACCTAATTTCATGATGGTCTGATTTGTAGTTCCCAAGAGGAATGTGAATAAAATTTCATAGGGACTGATTGACTGACAAACACAGATTATTTATCAAAGCTTTGCTTATACCATTTTAAACAAAAATGAAATCTTCGAACGCATCTATTGAGTAAATAAAATCCTACTTTGGTATGGACTAAACAGACAGACATTGACTCAAAGAGAAACGTACCGAGCAAGAAAAATGAATACTCAGATTCAGATCATACCAAGTTTCAGATTTGTTATTAAATCTTTGATATTTTCATTTCGAATCAAAATCCTAATCAAATGGATAACATTTTCTATGTACATATATGTAGTTAATAGTCAATATATCTGATTAAGTAAAGACATGGTTCAGATTACATCTGATTTTTTCGACAAAAGAAATTGTGTGTATACTAGTAACTTATCCTGTCTTTGTCAATTCTAGTAGCTAGACTGGCTTTGAAAATTGTATTTGCCATTTAAGGAGAAGTAGATTGGTTTTAATGATGCATTACGATCGTCAATTGTCTTTATGACTGTGAAGAAGCTTTTTGCCACTATTTTGTTGACGAAATTATTAGCCTCACTTCGCTCGGCTCTATTTTGTCGCCACGCTGAGCTCGGCAACCAGTTCTGCCTAACTAAAATAATATGCTTAGTTACGGCCTTGGTTGGCCTAAAATTTGTGTGGTTTGGGCTCCCCAAATTTTTACATCCTGACTTTAATCCGAGACATTTGTCATGGACTCTTTTTGTGCTGTCATATGTTTTAAATTTCAGATTGATCGTACAGAATAAGTCCGTTTAAATTAACCACTGACTATAGAAAATGTCTTCTATGCGTTAATCGTAGAGATCACGCGTGAACTTGGATATGTCCAACAAACAAAAGGAAAAAAAGAAACAAACGAGCAAACGAAACAAAAACAAATTTTGTGAAACAACAACAAGATGAGAAGAGATAGACATTAGGCAATATTATGCAAGTTTAATGAAAAAGAGTTGCACTTAAACTAAAATAAACTGTTTTCATATATACAGACCTTGACTAAATCCCTCTGGTTCTGCTCGTTCATACCAGAATCGGTCAGCTTGTTTAAGATACTGAAATTGTTTACCAAGTATGCAAGCAAACGTTTCTCCAACATATGCGGCATCGCCAGCTAAGCGCTGTTCCAACATACCTCCAACATACAAATCAATATCGTATACACTTCTGCAAACAATAAAGAAATCATTTGTTGATTTCGAAAAAAAATTGTTATAACTGCAATTACTAGTAAAGTTTTGATAGAATGACATGTTCAATCCATCTGATAATCATATACACTGGAGTTGACACAAGAGTTTTGTAACTATTGTTGTTTTTATTCTTTATTTTCTACGGTTTACCTTTTCAGATACCTAAGTCCTTTAAAATATTTTTCTTAATATAACGTTTCCTGCTGAACAATATTCAATATATGCCAAATGGGTATCTATCTAAAATAAAATACTTTTCTTACTGAAATCGATGCGCTCATGTTCGACAAAGCGGAATATAATCTTGAGGTATTTCTAAGCTGGCTTTTGACAACGTGATATTTTGTGACGCTGAAATCATCGGTATTCGTGTATTTCGTATACGATTTGTAGTAACGACAGGGGGGGGGGGGGGGGGGGTGTAATAAATGTTTTTTAAACTAAATTATCAAATTTCTCGTTTTTACAAATTTCTGAATTAGTTTTTATTATCAGGAGCGCCTCGCCAGTAAACTTGAGACCATATTTACAATTTTGTAAAATAAAAGACCAAAAGGGCGGTCGAGAAAGTGAATAAACATATAAAGGTTAAGGTATACAAATACATACGCATATAAGTTCCTTAAATCCCGAAGTCCGCCTCTAATATATGTCATTTCTGACCAAGCATCACCGGAGGACGGAACACTAAGACCACACGATTTCCGCCATTCTGTGTAAGAAGGTAGGCCATGATCTCTTCCTCTTTGTATGTTTAAACTCGTCAGATCTAATAGAGTGTTAAACAATTTATTTCTGATCGAACCAGAAAATTGTCTGAAAAATACAATAGATATACAAGTTGATGTTAAAAACATATCTAAACTGATCCGTAAATTAAATGACAGTCTTTCTAAATGTAATGCGTATACGACTACATACTTTGAATATACTTAAGCATACAAAATGTTATCCGATAAGTTTCTATGTTCGAAGAAAATTTCAGTCCAAACAACGCAAAAGCATATGACTGAACATCCGAGGGTCGCTGTAATAGCTTTCAGCAATAGACATAGAATTATATCAGTACTCTATAGATGAATAATGAATAAATTAATGGTGAACAGTTAGGAAAAAGGCTGATATTTCACATCGGACTAGTATAATGGAAAAAGCTAAACAATGACACAAATATCAGAATTATTCAAAATGCACTTCAATTTACAGATAAATTGGAAAGTAAAGGAAAGAAAAAAAAACAGCATCTTGACTGTTTTGAGGGTAATTATATAAAAAAAAATATAATTAAGTGACAAGGCGAAAAAAACATTTAAATTACTAGACTCACGGTCCTAAAAGTTGATAACGGAAAACATATGCTTGTGTTAACATTTTATCCCTTTCTAAAGTAAGCACAATAAACATGCAAATAAAAATAGAGCTGCTGACCAAATATGAATTCATTCTGTTTAGTACTAGTATTATGGGAAAATAATTTGGGTATAATTACTTCGGCGAGTTTGTTCTGGTTTATCTGGTAAAATAAGAATATGTGATGTGAATGTCTATGACACAACTATCCACCTGAGATTAATCAACCGCAGATGTGTTATTCTGGAAAATGATTTCGCTCTCACCAGTGCTAGAGACCCTCTTGAACTTTCAGTGAACTGTGAACGGTTGTTCAATGTTGAAGGCCTCACAGTGTTCCTTTGCTATCCTTTTTTTTCAAGTATGCGTAGTGAAATTAAGTACGAGCGTTAGCGAGTTCACAAATAAGAAACACCAAATCCTACAATTTCATTGGTCGAGAGCACTTTGCTATATTCTAAATACACCATATCATTTCTTTTCCATTTTAATGTTACCTGAAAATTTTTATCGTACAAAGAAATTCAATTATATCTAATCTTAACTTAATTCATATACCTATCTGCACTAGAGGCCTGAATAGTGGTCATATATCTAACTAAATCTAATATCTTGGAACCTGCCTCATTGACTAACATATGTGGATTTGTCATAGTTAGTTCCATATTTGTTTCCTCTGAAGTGGTTGCGTAGTTTTCTCCCATATATGCTATTTTATTAGGAATCTGTCAAATATTGTTATATTATAGGAATAATTTCATTACAAATAAAAATGCATGATGAACATGCAGTAACTGAACTTCAAACAAGCGGAAAGATAGCCTAAACCAGATGTGACACAAAAAAATAATATTTTCCTTCTTCTTTAACTTCGTAATTGGTTTAGCCACCCAACTGTTTTGATTTGGCCTCACTGTAAGAACAATGTAGTCGAAGCGCACGTCTGGCTTACTTCATAACAAGCTTGGTTATCTTAACTAACAGTTTTTAAATGTTAACAATGCTAAAGTAGTGGCAATAGAAGTTTACCGATATTCAAGTCTCATATATACATTAAGAAAAAACAAGTAAAGAAAAACAAAACCCAAAAACTGAGGGAGTCACTGGAACTTCAAAACAAAAAGCGTCGAAAGAATTAGAACAATATCCTAGGACCTTCTTGGTAATAAACTAAAATTGCTTACCAGTTTTTATTGAATTTTGATTTGCCATAACTAACACGACAGGTGCCCATTGTTTTTCTCTAACTTTTTTTCTCTGGGTACCAGTCTAATGTTTAAGCAACTCTTACCTGAGAATGTCCGAATCGCAAAGCAGCAGTGGCAAATCCCACTCTAATTCCGGGGTTGATTGTATCGTCATAATCCAATGAGTTGCCCGATGTCAATAATTGTAAATTGTAGTCGGCAATGGTTTGGTCATTAAAAACATCTATCAAGGAAAACGTATAAAAATTAACCTAAGCTCCCGTATTCTTATTTTCAACTGATTGCAAATAAATATGAAAGTAACTATATATATGCTGATCAAGAGAAACATAGAATTTTAATATTGAGACCTCGACTTATTATATCCTAGGAAGTGAACTTAAATAACAAAATGGCGCCTCAACGGGTGATGTTATGTGTTTGTGTTCAATACGAACCATGTATAGGCACGGCAATGTCATTTTTATTTTGTTGATGAAAACTTTTAGATGTGATACAGTCACAAAACAAATTAATTTTAAAGTAAATTCAAATGATTCTTACTAAAATTAATTTCGTAATGATAAAACAATGGAGATCGGGAACATTTCGCTGAATGAAATTAATTTGTGAGATTGTAGTATACGAACAATGATAATTATTTCAATTCACTTAAACGATATCTATGATTTCTTAATAATTCCAGAGCTCAACGTTTTTTTTATTAACTAAAACAAATTGCAACACTACTAAATCATCATGTGATCCCTCAATAGTATGAAGATTATATTTTGAAAGTTTCAACGATAAAAGATTTTTTGAAGTGAAACATTTAGAAATGACAAAAATTGTTCACAATTTAAAACAAAATTATTTGAAGTACAATAATTACGGTAACCATGTAAGTGAACGGCCATTAACATTTTAAAGGAGGTTTGTTCCTCAAAAGAATCTTACTTTTTACTTAGTTTTTTTTTTTTACATTTTAACGTTTTTGCTTCTTCAATTGTTTTAGCAGTAAAATAGGTTGTGCTTTATGGTCTTTTCATAAGACTGACTTTTTGACTTGTGAACTTCTTAAAGTATTTTTCTTTTAAATGATATGATTTTTTTTACGTTCAAACTTACTTTCAAGCCATTCATTATATGTTATGTGTTGTATAAGAGCATTAACAATCTTTCTGGCTTCGTTGAATAATTCATCATCTGTCCAAGTTGGCTGAGCAGCCTCAAGTTCGTCAACAATACGATTATGCTCTCGAACAAACAATGTATGTAACAATCCAAGTCCTGGTTGTACATTTACCCTTACATCACCTAAATAAAAGTTTCTGGTATGAAAAGCTATGTATCGCATTTGCCCAATAAAATAATTCCATTTTTCTAATAATTTATACAATTGATTACACATGTATGGAAAAGAAAATTCTATATAAATCTTTATTTCAAGTGTAGTCGGAACCGATGCTCTATAAAAGCGAAATGATAAAGCTTGATTCTATAGAACTTTAACTTAAATTTCATTTTAATTCAATTCGGTTACAGACTTAATATATACGTTTATGATCTTTTTTAGAAAGAGTCGTTATCCTTTATTTTCTAAATGGGAAAGTCGAAAACAACATATGTTACTAAATAAAATGTACAGCTACCTTATTGTAGTATAAGTTGTATATTAAGTTGGTACATAGCACTACAGAGTGATAATTCTGTAAAAATAAGTTGAACGTTTTAATCACGTTCTATTGTTAAGGAAACAATAATCTTCTCAATGATCAAAATTTGTGTTTGTCAAACTGCTATATGATCCATTGTAATTTTTCCGATAAAGTTTGTGGTTCAATTTTTTGAATTTTTATATTTTTGTCAAAGGGTCAAAGTAAATATTTTGTAAAAATTTTATGAAAATTAAACGAGCCAAATAAATTTTAGTCAAAGTGTTTGGTACCACCTTAATCATATTATAATTCTCCTTGAAAACTATCATGATCTTTTTTAGAATTGTGTATTCCATTGCTGAATCTTTTAAACTTTTTTTAGTGTTTATCATATTTCGTAAAAGGATGCACCATATATCGTACCAGCATTTTGACAATAGTCATCGTCTGGATCATCGCCAGTCAGAGAACATATGGCGTCTGAAGACCTGTCCTTTGGCAGCAAGTCCCCACCTGATTCTGATCTTACTTTCATTTTTCCTATAATAAAAAAATAATAACAAAGCTGATTAAGGTCATATAGTTCGATGTTAAATAATACTTTCGTTGTTCAAGTAAGATATTTTACATTTCAAATTGTTCTATTCGTTTACTCTAAATAGATATGAATAAATGTACACAAAATACTCTCTATGGTGAACAACTACATAAGATACTTTTGAAGGTCCGAACCTAGCTCGCAGGATATTCTTATGAGACTGGAGTGAAACGTAATGCATTTACTATCATTTGGGTTGGTAACGCTTCTGGTGGACTATAGGTCACAGAGTGTACAATTCGCTCATTAAACGCGGATGCTTAATAGGCTATACTACTTAGATATATTAATCCCGGTCTAAATATAATGTTTAAATAGGTGCCTTACTTTGACAAAACGCACAAGATCCATTTTTTTCAAGTGAAACATTGTCAAATTGTAATTTCAACAAGATAATACACTTTTGTTAGGATAAATATGTTTGAAATGCATATTTTAACTGTTATCCACAGAACCAGCATGTGTTACCAGAATAATATTCATCAAGTAGGCTCGTGACCAAAGGTAAGAAAAGTCAGATGATACAAAACGTTGAAGCATGAAAAAAGATAACATAGTCAAGCACGCCTTCAACCTTATGGAGAATAAAATGAAGTTGAAAAAAACACATCTTATGGATTTCCCCCCCCCCCAAAAAAAACAAACAAAAAAACATACAAAACAATTTCAGAACACATTCCATGATGGTTTAATTCATTTAGTAACACATATACACTTTATATGGATTTAATACTTACCTCCCTTGCGAGTCTTCAGTGCTATAAGTTCATCCTCTGAACTGCCATAAACCATGCTTGCATCAATAAACGATGTTATTTCATTGGTGAGTTGATTACCTATATAAGATACGAAGTAAAGGTCAATTCTAACAAGACGTATTTTCACACATCAAGGAGACATCTAATTTATATATTTACACATTTAAAACTATTTCTTTAAATATGTGTTATTTGAAAAGTCGAATTGAGAAAAAAAAATGACGTAAAGGCAAATTGCAAGGGTAGTGTATTGAGGAGCCAGTCTTTTGTAGACGAAACGCGCACGCGTCTGGCATACACAATTATTAGCCTGGTATCTTCCATCAGCTTTTTTTCTACAGAAAAAATAGATTATATATGCTTGATATAAGTATACCTTTCTTATAAGTTGATTTCGATCATTCTTGTTTTGAAATTACTCGTGTACAGAAGCGGGGATTGGTGTGTACTGATGGTGTCATAAGAGTTTACGTCTTATTTACTGGTCAAAATTACTTTGATCAATATTTCGGAGTTCTGCTAATTGATTTTAATTGACGTGGAATGTGATTTTTTAAGATATATCTACGCTCATTACAATATGAAACATTGAGAACTTACTGGAAGATTTACCGAAGATTTGTATTTCAAATTTTATAATCTAAGTAGAGGGTATATATTATATATGAATTATGATTTCAGCGATTGTATGGATATTTCTTATTTTTAATTTAAAAAATGAAGGCGACAGTTACTGTAGTTTACCGATGTTTAAGGTGGTACCAAACACTTTGACTAAATTTTTTTTTGGCTCGTTTGATATTCATAGAATTTTGACAAAATATTTACTTTGACCCTTTGACAAAAATATGAAAATTTCAAAAAACTTGAACTACACACTTTATCGGATAAATTTCATTGGATATATAGCAGTTTGACAAACACTAATTTTGATCATTGAGAAGCTTAATATTCCCTTAACAATAGAACGTGATTAAAACATTCAACTGATTTTTACAGAGTTATCTCCCTGTAGTGTTATGTACCACCTTAAATGAAAGCAAAACGCGTACCATTAAGGCTCAAATCTGGTGCTGGAGCTGATCTCACGAATTCCATACACGTTATGTTTAAGTCAACATCAGCTTCCATTTCTATCGCCAAACATTCATCCCTGTTTACAAAACAAAAATTAGAATGTTCAGAATATTAAGATATGAAAATAAAACTGTTAGAAATCATTTTTAATTATCAACTCTGCTATTTTGTTTCAATAGAGATTGTTTGTGGCCTCTTCATTTATGTACTATTTGTTTGTATCTTGGAACAGAATTTTAAATGAAAATGTAACAAAATTTCAGATCGAGGGTTATTACCCCTACCACTATCGATCACATGAATACTAAAAAAGACCAGGATGCCAAATAAAAAAACGAGAAAGCAACAAAAAAAAACCATGCCAATGACAATATTTTCGCATAACTCCAAATCTTTTCAAAAAGTCCTCATTTTAAAAACTTAAATAAAATATTAAGAATAAGATATGAGTAACAGCTTATTCAAATTGTATTTACCTAAGCATGCAAAAATGAGTGTTGTAAATGAAATATCATTGTTAGAACGTTTGTTGTAATTTTATCGAACAATATTTTCCGAAAGGACTTTGTTTTATTTCATTATTTTATAAAGTTTAATGAGTTAGTGAAAAAAAAATGGCAGGTATTTTCTTAAATATCAACATATACTTAATATACTTTGTTGTATTGAACTGAAGAAATTTAAAATATGCCTACTGCTATAATTTTTATCCAACATTTTTTTCCTGTTAAAAAGATAATACAGCAATTGACAGAAAGGGGAAAAGCAAAAACCATTGGAAAAATATTACCTAACGATGGGATCCTTGTTATCTGTACAACAAGCAATATCTGCACCATCTTCACCTAAAAAAGTATAGTTGAAAACAATCATATCGAAAAATCGTGAAACAGATGTATAGAGACACACATACGTTCATTTTTATCTATAAAGAAGTCACTCCTAACTATCCTACTACCTGTCGATACATTTATTTTTGGCATTGCACAAGTCATGTCTTCTTTGACTGTTCATGACGTTAAAATACTAAATCCCTGGGATGTATTTTAGTTGATTTTAGTCTCTGATGCATGATTTTTTATTATTAATTGTTTTGGCTTTTAACTAGCTGTCAGTAACTGCGAGTACTCTCAAATCGTACTTTCTTTTTAATTTGACCTGTTGATACTATTTGTAATGCTTTTTTGTTATTTAATGTTAACATGGATCTTGTCTATATACCAGCTTTGATTATTTGGTATTTAATTACTACAAATTTTCACTTCTTCGTACTATGAACATCAAAATTATTTCATTTTTCCTTAGATGCTGTTCTTGGACCTGTACAGGAAGTTTTATCTAGCACTAATTGTATATTTTTATTGTTAATATTCACCCGATATGTACCAAGTGTTAGATTAGTTTTATTGATATTAAAGAAATTTCTTGGTATTCCTAAACGGAAGATTTTATACACACAGAAGAAGAAGTATACTTAACAACAAAATTATTTTCATTTACCTGTGTATAATATGACGCAGGTTTCTTCAAAAGTGATGATTTTCTATAAATTGTTTGAAATTTCACAGTGATATCATACTTTAACTTTGTTTAAACCTGTTTATTTACTTTTGACTTTAATTATTTATCCCTTGTAATTTTTTATTAACTGTGTATTTGCATTCAGGTGTCACAGGGCAAATTTATTCGTTCATTGTGTGTTAATTTACGTTTTTTGATTGAGTTAAGCCTTCCAATTGATATTTTATAGTGTGTTTTTCTATGTTGTGATGTTATACTATTGTTTCAGAAAAGGGAGAAGGTTTGGTTCCATTAAAACGTTTAATCCCGCTGCAAATGTTTGCACCTGTCCTAAGTCAGGAATCTGATTACAGTAGTTGTCGTCTGTTTATGTAGTTCATACGTGTTTCTCGTTTCTCGTTTTTATATAGATTATACCGTTGGTTTTTCCGTTTGAATGGTTTAACACTAGTAATTTTTTGGGGCCCTTTATAGCTTGCTGTTCGGTGTAAGCCAATGCTCCGTGTTGAAGGCCGTACCTTGACCTATAATGGTTTACTTTTATAAATTGTAACTTGGATGGAGAGTTGTCTCATTGGCACTAATACCACATCTTCCTATATCTATTGTATTATGTGACATGGCATGAGTTAATACAGTTTGTTATTTTTTCACTTCACAATCGTTCAAAATAGATTTAACATGATAATACAAAAGTACATGCTTTAATTGTATTTTTCAAAGGGAACGAAGTTCTTACACCCACACACATTCTTTTATTCATTGTAAGATTTTCAAATTTACTTCTCATTCCAGCACACTAATTCATTGAACACACACACACACACAAACGCATACACATATATATCTATCTATAATATTTAACTTCTACTTCGAAAATGTTAACAGTTTACATTCGGAAAAATTATCTTTAAGGAAAACCATTAGTCAAAAGGTAAGGCATTAATTAAGCGACTTCCATCGTAAAACCTACCCTATTTATAAGAGGCATAGGAAGAAATAGGTCATGTCAAACCAATAACTTCTAATATTTGCCATAAAGTAAATATCTTTTGGTTGAGTGAAATTTTATATCTTTTACTATTTGATCGCAAAAACAGTTTTCACTGATTTTGATATTTTCCCCAAATGACGCATATCTTTAAATTGTATTTTTGTTGTTGTAAAACAGACGTGGCTGCATGCAAATAACTAGAAGTTATTAAAAAAAAAGCATTCTTTTCTGATATATCTTCCATTATCGAATGTTGGTTGTTATTTGAATGTGGCTTATTTGAAAATCATGTAAATTGAGATGTTTAAGAGTTTCTGAGAGAGAAAAGTGTCTTTGTGAAATAATAACTGGTCAAAATCTTCCGTATTGAAGGGCTTAAATTGGTCTTTTATAAAATTCGATAATTCAGACTGAAATTGTCATCCTTTTCCAAATTTGCAATGAATGAAATTCATATGACATTCTGTGCTTAAAAAAATGTTCACGAATAACGCACAAAATACATAATACAAAGAAAAAATACTTCGTCTTACTCTTACTTTGAAGGACCAAAGAATTGAATGTTGTAACATGTGATGAATTACCATGTACATGATCTTAAAAGATAGGTACAAGTTCACTTAATAAACACATACCTGAAAATGTTGGTGTGAGTACAATATCGTGATCAATAAACTGTCCCCAGTTCATGCTCATCAATGTGTTGAAAGGTTCCAGAGGAGTTTCGCCATCTGCACTAGTTGCAGCAAATACTGCATTACTAAGTGCCCTTGGACCTGGCAGTTCTTCATTCGGAACAACGCTGGTTCTAGGTTCATCCACTACAAAAAATATATCCAAATGTTGAGAAGCTTAACTAATGAATGACTGATTTTTAATTAATATAGAATATTTCACTGTTTACAAATAGGGCTTAAAACGTTACGTGTAAAACAAACGCTTTTATCTATTAGGTATTACTCAGATTTCACAATTTACTCGTTACGTGTAAAACGATTTTATCTATTCAATATTATTCTTCATAATTTACTCACCACCATCGCTGTACACTTCAGTTATAAATCTAGGTTGTGTGGTTAAAGCTGCTCCCCAGTCAGGATTATTTTTGTTATTACATGTACCATCTAAAGTTCTGTATTGGTCAACATCAGAAATTGCTTGGCATTCACTAGTTGTCGTTCGTTTTCCTCTACTTGTAAAGTATCTGAAATATCGAGAATAGAGTTGTACGTTGACATGAAAATGTTTACAACTCTTGGTAACACGACGGTGCCACATGCGGAGCAGGATCTGCTTACCCATCCGGAGTACCTGAGATCACCCCAGGTTAATGTGGGGATCGTGTTGCTCTGTCTTTAGTTTTCTTTATTGTGTTTTGTTTATTGTTGTTTGTCTTTTAGTCTTTGTCTTTTTTTGCCTTGGGTTGTCAGTTTATTTTCGACTTCTGAGTTTTCGGTATCTTTCGCCCCTCTTTTTTGTCTTTGGTGGATAATTGTTTCATTGGCAATATTAGCAAATCTCCATATATATTTATACCGTTTATATTAAATTGATTAGGGACGAATTATTTTTATATATAGTTTAGGTTCTTATTTGTCGCTGTAAGCCGTGTTGTATTCACTTATCCGTGTACCGCTGACCAACATATTGCATTGAAACAGAAAGTAAACCAAAGAAGACTTACATAACGATCCATATGATTATTCAATCGCCACACAACTAACTAGTTCAAAGGTGATTTAAACAACACATCTTTATAGCATATACTTTATTTTTACGTGCTATATAATAATAAAGTCATATACTTTAGAGCTATACGGATGTTGACAGAAGCAATATGTTGTTCGTTGTTGTTTGTCGGTGCTTGTACGTCCGGTATTGTTGGTTGGTGTGGTTTGTTGTGTTGTCCTGCTTTTTTTTGTAATTCCTGTTATCTTCTTCAAGTATTACCATGATAATTTCGAGTCTTATTAACCAATAATTTGAACTCTTGTTTATTTTTTCTTGTTCGTTTTGCCAAAATATAGTAATCTAAATAATGAGCATGTAGTTCAGTGGTTGTCGTTGGTCGTGTCCGTCATATTTGTTTTTCTTAAATTGATTTGTTATAAATAAGATCGTAAGTTTTCTCAATTGAATTGGTTCGTATTTTTCATATTGGTGCCTTTTAAAGCCGACTAAACGGTATGTTTTTTTTCATTGTTGAAGGCCGTACGGTTGCGTATAATTGATTAGATCCACTTCATTTGAACTTTGGTGGATAGTTGTTTCATTGGCCATCATACCACATCTTTTTTTTTATATTTAAAAATATAATACCGATTCGATTACATATGGTATCATCTATGGAATTCGGATTATTATAGTGAAATGTCATAGATTATTATTACGTTTTTACCTCTCCTTGTTGCCTCCGATGATTTGATCTGTTATAGAATCCCAAGCATTGGTGAATTCTGGATCCTCACTGAGTTCTTTTAATGTCAAATCGGTTCTATAAGAAAACAGGTAAATAGACATCTTTAACCAAAGTATTTGAGTACATTGAAAAGAGATGGATTGATTGATAGATAGATAAGTTAACTGCTTAACAAATTATCCTGATTGTGTCTTAATACTCACGGGCAAAGATGGACCCTGAATGTGACTCGCAAGTGGAATGTGACTCGTAATTTCAATATGCATGTCGTAACTAATCACACACAAATTTAACCATACACATTTTGTGTGTGTTGTCCCATTTCAAGAAGCTGTAGTTAAATGATTGTCCTAAGTAAATGTGACATAAACTGTCTGTAATTAATGTTTTACGTTTGAGTTTTGTCGTTAATCAGGTCGGTGTTTTTTTCGATTATTTTTTTTTCACATAATGTTATTTTGGGGTCTTTTACGGCTGGCTATAAGGTACGAGATATGCATATTGTTAAAGGTCGTACTTTGACCTATGGTTGCTTAAATCAACGTCATTTTGATTCTGGTAGATATTTGTCTTATTGGCAATTATACTTCATCTCCTTATTTTATACTGGTTCATTGCAGTTCAAAACAATGGCGACAAGAAAGTAAAACTGATACAAATTTGAGTCTTTATCGCATGAATACACCACCATTACCAACATCATACGTGAGTTGGCGAGCGTTTTGACAAATAGTTTATATTTATGAAAATATAGCATTACAGCGAAAATAAAAATCCAATGGGACAGACATTTTAAAGCACCAAAACCAGTATAATTTCATGTAACTTCGATAAAATGCATTAGTTGGAAATTAATGGATAATTAAGGATACTCATAACAATCGCCTTGGACGAACACTAGATTGTCGTAAACTGTGTAGGGTCTCTGTTTTGAGATTTTTTAATTTATAATATCATTTAAATACTCACAGCTTCACAAGGTTCCTTTTAGCACAGATAGTCAAAAACCCTAGTTTCTGGCGTTCCATGGATTCTGGGGTGATCTTGAATAGTCTGTTACGTTTGCCTTGCTTCCTTTGTCCATCAACACCTAATGATATAGTAATACTAGGAACTTTAGATATTTGCGTTTTAACCAAGATCAAGTTCAGAGCATATGCATTTTTATGTCGATCAGATCTGTTAAAAGTATTTTAATAATAAAAACTATCTTATTTGTGTTATTGAAACACTCCAAATGGATTTAAATATCATGTGATCTCAGCATCTAAAAATCTTCTATTATTATATTAACTAGTATATGCTTTTGAAAATACATATGTTTGTTTACTGTGCGATTTTTTGTTTATTTGTTTATTCCGCATTGGATAGAGGTATAGAGGGGGTGGTTGAGATCTCACAAAACATGTTTTACTCCGCCACATTTAAGCGCCTGTCCCAATTCAGGAACCTAAAGCCTTTGTTAGCAGTGTATGTTTTTTTTTAATTTTGGTTCATTTGTATGTATCGGAGTTTATATATAGATGCTTAATTCTACGTCATTTGGACTCTTGGTGTTGGTTGTCTCATTGGCAATCAAACCGCATCTCCTTATTTTATATAACTATGAATTAACGTCATATGAGTTTTCTCAAAGCGTTAAACATCCGTTTGATATTTGTCAGTAAAGAACAAAGTATAAGCACAACTAATACAATTACTACATGCAATATGAGATATATTTAGAAATAACTTCATAGAAAAAAAGTTACTTAAAACGTGTTTAGTATGATTGGGTTGCTGTCATTGTCTCTCTTGTAATGCGAATAATATAATCAATGGAATAAATTATCTTTAAGAAAGACCAGATGGTCGTTTGAATCATGAGAATAGATTTTATACTGCTAAATTCCTTTGAACTGAAATAAATTAAGAATTGAATGTTCCTTTTTATGATTAAATGGTTTGTAAAAGCTTTGACCGAAGCACATTTTGAATGAAGCGCGGATGAGCTTCATATAAAAAATGTGCGCACGATCAACGCTTCTACAACCCTATAAATTTTTTTAAAATCAGCCAATCAAAATAAAACAAACAAGTAATGTTATTATGAGAAAACGAAGATTCTGCTGTATTTATAAACATTGGTGTAAAGTGTCAATACAACAAAACGCGGATTTCTTTCTAGTCGTTTCTAAAATGAAAGAGCTATTATCGTTCAAAGAATTCATTATAAATGACGGCAGAAGCCTTATAATTTTTTTCCATGTGTTCATTTCTTATGGAATTGTTATTTCTTTGCTATATTAAGTTTGGTTTTGCTTTTGTTTTATGTCACAAACTAATTATGTTTATATGACAATAAAGATATTATTATAAATAATAAAAGTCTCCGCCGACCCGTGATCTTTATATACTTTTTTGTATAAAATGGGTCAACTTTACAGATATATCACCGATAATTTACAAAAGAAGCAAGCTTATATCGATTACTGGTATGTAAGATGATTTTAAGATACTCATAGAAGGTTGTTGATTACATCTGCTATACGTTTTAACTGAAAGAATTTGATTGTAATCGAAATTTGAAATTTTACAGTGACGAGGACCACAACGTTAAAAATGAATCGTGATGTTGCCCTGTAATTCAAAGCTACAAAATATAGTTAATTATTCACAGGAAATATTTAACCTTTATTTTTGAACTCCTTTTGCTTTTTTTTAAATGACTCGAATTTTTCTAAACAGTTTGTAAAAGCTGTTTCCACTACTGCAGTAGCATCTTCCTTTTTCATCAACTGTTTTTCTTTCTCTCTTTCCTCCAATAGGTCCACTATGTCCTCTAGTGTTTCTATCTTTTTCTTTGTTAGACTTCCTTCATGTTTAGATAGTCCTTCGCTTTGATAAAAAATTACCAGAAGTACAATGACAACCCCAATTTTACTTGTTACCGACATCTTGTCTGAAAACACAATGCCACACAATTTTATTAATTATTCATAATAAATGTCATGGATTCCCAGCAAGAACATTGATAAATGTCATTGCATCTCAGCAAGAACATTGGTTCTGTCTAAGATAAACAAACGAATAAAAGGATCCGGACATAACGTATAAACGTATAAAAAACAACACGAGCTTACCAAAAACGACATATACAAAAACACAGTATATTTAAAACAATAGGGCTCAAAACATCAACTTCAAACCATACGACTATAATTTGTGTATACCAGTAAATGACTAAGTCAGGGATTTCGCTACCACAAATTACTTAAAATCTTTAAAAATTCTTTCATTGATAAAATGATTTGGGTTGGAATTGTAGAAATCATATTACATGTACAAATGGAATATCACATCCTGATTTTTACGACAATGTTGTTTATAGAGTCCGTAATATAAGATACGATCAATGTAAACATATTGATCCCTTGAATAAACGTATTCTTTGAATATTGTCTTTAACTGTACTAACATTGACTTTGTTATCAGTGAGTTAAAACATAACCAAATATGTATACAATGAACAATTATGGTCTAACATTCTGTTGATTTAGCAATTTTTTGAAAGTTTTACTTTTGTCATACAGTTCATGATGTCTTTAAACTTAAAATATGTAGGATGTGTACCAATTGATACTTTAATCTGGGAAACATGATTTTTTTGTTAGTTGTAATTGGCTTTTAGGACTACCTTTGGGTAACTGTGAGTACTTTTAGATTGGTACGTGATTTCTGTTGTTGTTTTTGTGCCTTGTTCCGATCTATTCAGTTTAGACCTTTCCCACAGATTTTTATAGTTTGTTCTTTTGTTGAGGTCCTAGGTTGGGAGAGGGAGTGCGCATCATTCTATATGAGCCTGTCCCAATCCAGGAGGCTGCATTTCAGTGGTTGTTGATGAAAATTTCATACAGCTTCTCACATGTTCAGGTCAATATGCATCCATGGCTTTTAATTTTTGGATTTGAGCGTTCCTGATGAAGGTTAGTCCGGAAAATCAAATTTATAAAGTACTATTTTCATTGACAGAAAAAAAAGACACATATTTAAAGAGTGATTATTTCAATAGAAGTCTCATGCATGTAAGCTCAGCTTTATAGAAAGATGGGAATGAATATAAATAGTATTGCACGAACTCATATTAAAGACGAGCTGCGTTGAAAGGTAAACCTTCCCTTGCTATACATCATGCATCTGTCGTCACACCAGTCCACAACGACATATAGTCCCAAAGCAAGAAATATCACAAAACCAGTTATAATGTCAGATTGATATGGGGAACATAAGGGTTCCCTGACAGAGTCGAAATGTTTCTCGTGAGTTGATGAATGGAGACACTCTAAGAGTCAATTTTGGCGACCATAGAAATTGTTATGTCATTCGTTCATAGTTCATACTCATACATTGCAATGTTGTCAGACGAGTTCATAGGGGTATATTCGTGTTGATGAAATCACCATTATGAGAACACATTGTGGCTTATTAAGTTTACTGAGACACAAGAGAGTAAGAGACTTGAGGGCAGATGCATATCACTAGTAGCAAGATTTCAGTCTGAAACGGTCATTTTGGTCTGATCAAGTCTGAATCAACTGAATTTACCGCTAGGGAAAAACGTTAAGACTTTTTAAGACACTCAGACGCTGTTCAGATATGTCGTGTTCAGTCCGTTCATTCATGTCAAGATAAACAAGACAGAAGGCTCTAGCTGTTAAACAAGATATGTTAAGACGGTTTTAGACGAATTCAGACCAAACATAAAAAGTAATGTTCAAAATTTTCAGATCGGGTTAAGATCCGTTTAGTGTGTCAGAATGATATTAGGAGTTACGCCCCTTCATGTGGATGATACATTTTAATTATAAAAAAAATACAATATAAATGCTAGAATGAAAAACGTATATTTTTAATAATTAAACATAAAATCATTGGTTGACTTTTTATTTCTGTTGGTCTTTTTTTAAGAGATTAGTGATTTTGTTTTGTTGAGGAAATAACTTATTCGCCTATAACTGTTTATGATTTTATTTTATTTTTTATTTTCTGATGTTAATTTATGTATTTATCTACTTATTCTTTGAAAAGAAGTAATTGCAAATTTTAAACATAACATTATCAAAAGAGTGAAAACACCTTATAAATTTCATGCGTCTGAAGCACGTTTCTGGATTTAACTTCATCGGGAACGATCAACGTAAATACAAATATGTTTTATGTCAGATAATTTATATCGTTAATTTCGTTATCTTTCGATACTTTCCTCTAAAACTTAATAATTACTTCGTGGCATTTAGTAATCATTCCCCGTGCGTGCTATTCTTTTTATATTTGGACAACCGTCTTCTTTTTTTTTTTGCTTTTTTTTCGTAGTGATGCGTAGTCACCAAGGCCGCATCAGGGAACCATGTCTCCGAGTGCAGTTAATATTCTGAAAACTGCACTTAGACCGTGACGAGACAATAAAACTATAAATAACATACCATCGGAAAGAAGAAGATGTTGATGGGAGGGGGCGGGGAGGAGGTTACAGAATAGAGAATGAGTGGCAATAAATATAAAGAATAGTGAAAATGGATAAAAAAAATAAAGAATAGAGAATAATAAGGTGCTTGAATATAAAGAATTGATAATAATAGACAAAAAGTTTAAAGAATAGAGAAAATCGGCATAAAAAATTAAAGAATAAAGAAATAAAGGACCCCCTCCAGATCCTCATAGAAGTTTTCGTTAAAACAATACAACCTAATTTAAGTTCAGCATCGAGTATATATCCTTGTAAATGCGTTAATCCTTTCTTTCATTTTAATAACAATTTTATTTAATATAAAATAATTATGTATGTATTTGTTTATTCAAGTTGCACTATAGCAAATAATTCTTCTTCGTCTTTTTCTTCCTATAATAGTAATAAATGTATTCGTTATTTAATATTTTCTGTCAATTAAGATTGAATTCGATGGCACGTGCCACTAATCAAAAATGATCCTTAAACTATCAAAAACTTGGCTATTACAATGGCTATTTCACAATTACATCATATGTACACCTGTCATGGTATCATAGCTCCGTTCATGTATGTGTAATTTAAGGTTCTGACACATTTTATAATAGCTTCTTTCTGAACACTTCTGACGACATTGTTAAAACTGCACGAACATATCACAAAACCGCAAATTTAGTGGTTAAAAAATAAACGATAATGACAAAAAAATAATTAAAAACTAAAAACAAAACAAAATTCTGTTGGAAGTAGCATATATTTACATGTATAAATTGTCTAGTGCTTTTATTACAGCGGTATACTTGTTTTATACACAGACCATATTCTGATCATATTCTATGCTAAGATATTGACAAGTCAGAAGTAAATATGTTAAAAGTCGTTTTAAATCAATTCATTTCACAGCTGAGGCAAATGTTCCTTCCCATTGTTGAATGGAGGTTAAATAAATGTGAACAATAAAAAAGATGTATATTTCTTAGGCATGGAGCTAGGCATTTCTGAAGTATCTTTGATAGCATTTTTTTCCTATCAAAAATGTATGCTGGTATATATGTAACTCTAGGTGTTTACCTAAAATGTTATGTATATGTAAAAGTTTAAGATTTTTTTTTTTTGATATTTGCCAAAAAAAAAAACATTATCCGGAAAACCATATAATGGCGTTTTGTCCTTTAATTCTGTTTTTGTGATTTTCTAACCTACCTTCTAATTGATACGTTAATCCAAACAGTGCAAGTGTGTAATGCAAACATGCAAAATTCGGCTTTGGTGTATCATGTTAAAACAATACCCATAAATTATGATAATTTTCAATAATTTTAGATAAGATTATGCAAGGAAATGTGTTATTGTTTTCTATTTATCTAGCAAAATTGTATCTTTTTTTACACAAAGATGTCGATAAATAAATTTGATACCCTGCATTTATCATGCATTTCAATTGCATATTGTCAAATTGTTAAAAGATCTCCTCCTTAACAGGGAATCCGTTAGTATTGAAAGTCCCTGTCCTAAATTATTGAATTTGTCATTCTGCATTGACAATATTCAATTTATCTTGGTGTAAGTAATACGCACTCATTCGGGCTAACGCCCTTAATGTGTATCTAATACATATTATTTTCTCCCTCGTTTCACCCCTCCGATAATAAAGTTTTTTCTTAACTAGATATCGTAGAAAAACCAAACACAGTATAGGGTTGTGCGTTCGCTACAAGATCGCCTTGAATTTAACATGTTCAACATAAATATATACAATCAGCCATGCAAAAAGGCATAACATTTGTGTCAACTAATTCTGCCTCTTTAAAGGTCAAATGAAAGTTAGTCATTTCACTCTACTATGGAATGAAATGAACGAGAGAACTTTTGACGTGGTATAGTTATAATATAACTGTTCTTTATACTTAATATACTGAGTTTGTACTGCTAGCCGAAAAATCCACTTTGCTCTCTGGATGTCTCTTGGTTTTTGTTTTTGTTTTTGGTTTGTTTGCTATATTATTGACGTAAATAAAACCAACAACTCCTTTTATTCAGATATATAATTTGAGTTCTGTAAATTTCTAGACGTACGTAAGAATGAAAGACGAAAATGCAGGTTTCATAAATGGTCATCAAAGAGCGACACAATTAAAAACAAATAAAAATATAGTTATTACAGCTACAGTCATTTTTTTTTTCTCTATTAAAACATATTTGATACTTTTTGCGCTATTGTCATATATCAAAAAAAATCTAACATTTCCATAAGCTTTCTGTGATTTCCCCGATTCACCATTATGATGTCATGCCACTTGCTATATGGATTCAGAAAACAAATTTACGAAATCTATGACCACACAATTGTAACTGTTCCTATCTTTATTAACAAAATTTAGTGTAAATATTTACAACTATAAAAATTAGTAACAGTGGTGGTCTATTCTGCCCGGAAAACAATGCGGACTAAATCT